GGGTGGGCAGTAGATCCATGTTAGCCGAGAAGAGAGGAGATTAGAAGAGTAGGGTAGGAAAAGATGACCGAGATGGGGAGGTACAAGGGTGTGGAAGGTTTTATAGGTGATAGTGAAGATTTTGAAGTCTATCCCTTGAGAGAAAATGGAGCTTTGTGAGGACTGAGGTGATGGTTGTGCAGGTGAGGATGTGGGCAGCAGAGTTTTGTATCAGTTTTAGCTGGAGCTTTTGGATAGTGGAATTAGGCAATGTGTTTGAAAAGTCGAGTCGGGAGGTAACAAATGTGTGAATGAGGGTTTTGATGGTATTTGATAGTAATAACAGAGGCAGGCAATGTGGCAAAAAGTGAAGAGATCCTCCTTGGATTTCTTCATTAAGAAATTAATTTATACATTGACACTTAAGCATAGAAGATCCATTGAGTCTGCAACACAGCTTCCTGCATTTCTAAGTAACCTTCTTACTGATCCCAACTTCTGCATTATGAAACGTCATAATATGTTAGATGCCAGTTTAGCTTAGCTGCCTCTTTGCTGTAAATTTGTGGGTTCAAGTCGCAAATTGGGTCTTTGAACTTATTGTCTAGTCTGACGCTCCAGTGAGGTGCTGGGAGAGTTCTGCACTTTGAAGGTGCCATCCTTTGGATGAGGTGTTAAACTGAGGAGGTCCCGTCTGCCTGGATATTAAACATTCCATGACACTATTCAAAAAGACAAGGGAGTTTCCCCCAATGTCGTGTCTAACAATCCCCCCCCCACCCCCCCCCGACCAATAGAAAAAATTGGTGATCTATTTTCTGCTGTTTGAACACAAATTGGCTGCCATGTTTGCCTACAAAATACAATGACTACTCTTTGAAGCGCTTTACAACTGTGTACACTATAACTTAGAATCCATTCCACTGTATACCCTATTCCCGATTTGCAAGGAAACGTAGAACAAAATGTAATATTTGTATATGTTCTTGGTGCATTTGGGCACAAAGTTGGAAAAATTCCACCCGAGTTCAGATTTATTCTGGTGGATGAACTGTTCTGGGTGAATCGATCAGCCACGTTCTTGTCTGGCTTCACTGGATCCCCATCCCTCAGAGATTTGAGTTCAAAACCCTTGTTCTCACCGTCAAAGCCCTCCAAAGTCTTGCTCCCCCCAACCTCTGCAACCTCCTTACTCCCTCCGCTCGACGGACACCGGCTTGCTCCAGGTCCCCCGCACTTCCTGCCCCACATTGGTGGTCGGACATTATGCATCTTTGGCCCACACTCTAGAACTGTATTCCACAATCTCTCCGTCTCACCCCCCCCCCCCCCTCTTGCCTCCTGCAAGTCCCATCTAAAGACCTTCCTCTTCAACAGTGCCTTCGGCCACCATTCCCACCCCCCTCCATACCCCTGCCCTCCACCCTCCCTCTGCCCTCCACCCCTCCTGACTCCAATTCCTAGCTCGAGTCCAAAAGCCCATGATTGTCCAGGGCTCTGGGATGTCTTTCCGATGTGAAGGGTTCTATACATGTATAATTTGTTGTTGTTCTTCTGAAAGACGCTATACAAATGTTATTTTGTATTTGTATTAAATTTATGTAGAATTTCAGAGTTTGCAGAATTTGACAGATTGTTGAATTCAGTCCCAACTGTAAGAATGAAAAATTCTTAACAGAACTTACAGAAAATGACAGTTTCTAGACACTCTGGCATGCCAAGAAAATAGAGTAAATCTGGAGCCAGATAGAATTTTCTCCCGAAAGCTTACAGCAGATTTCACAAATACTGCTTTCTCGCAGGGTCTATAGCAGTAATAATATCAATGGATGAAATATACAGGGCGACCAAAAAGTCGAGATATACCCTATTATCTTTAAAAAATATATTTAAGACCCGTTAGACATTCTAATAGTGTCACAACTTTTTGGTTACCCTGTGTAATCCAAGTCAGTTAACTCCCTAAAAATTCCATTGCATTCTCAAGGACATGTTTGCCTGGAACTATGTCATATATCAGTGAGTTCAAAAACTGAACACAGCAATGTTGTGTGAAAGTAGCTGCAGAAAGATTTCATCAATTTGTTGAAATATTTCACTGATGTACTGAAGTCCTATCTGGCTTTTGACTACAAAGGAAAGTTTTTTTTATTTTATAAAAAAGTTTATTTTTACAACCCGTTTGTGAGATACCGTATCTTGTAATGAAACTCGGCGTGTCTGTGTTTGTTCTACTAACGGTCCATTGGCAGATTTGGCTTCACCATAACAAAATCTACCGCTGCGCTCTTGCCTCTGCCAAATCCTCCTACTCCAAGATTATCTTGGAGGCAAGGAACAACCCCCGGCTTCTCTTCTCCATCACTAACCGTCTCCTCTGTTCACCTTCCCATAACTTGCCCATCCTCTCCTCAAACTCCAACTGCGAGGAGATGCTGGACTTCCTCAAATCTAAAATCGAGGGGATACGTACAGCCACCTCAGCCCCGTCCACAGCCACCCCCACATCACCTCTCCCTCATGACCCATACCCCACCCATCCCCTCCTATACTCCTTCGACCCTATCTCTCCCTCCTCCCTCATCACGACTGTCCGCAAACTCAAACCCAACAACCTGCTCCCTCGATCCCATCCCTACCTCTCTCCTCATCTCCCAGCTCCACCTTCTGGCCCCCCTCCTGTCCGATGTCATTAAACTCTCCTTGTCCACCGGTTCAGTTCCCATCCCCCTAAAAACAGCCGTCATCACCTCCATCCTGAAAAAACCTTCCCTGGATCCATCCCTCCTCTCCAGCTACCGCCCCATCTCTAACCTCCCATTCCTCTCCCAAGGTCCTGGAACGAGTCATTGTGTCCCAGCTCCGCTCCTTTCTATCCCGCCATTCCCTCTTTGAACCCCTCCAATCCGGCTTCTGCGCTGCCCACAGCACAGAAACAGCCCTGGTCAGAGTCACGAATGACATTCTGAACATCTGTGATCAGGGCTCCCTCTGCCTCCTTGTCCTCCTCGACCTCTCTGCCGCCTTCGACATTGTTGACGACTCCATCCTCGTACACCGCCTCTCAGCTTTACTCAATCTTCATGCATCTGCCCTTGCCTGGCTTTATTCCTATCTCTCTCACCGTCTCCACTTTGTTGCCTCTAACGGTTTCTCCTCCAGGCCCTGCACTGTCACATCTGGCATCCCCCAGGGCTCTGTCCTTGGCCCTCTCCTCTTTAATATCTACATGCTCCCCCTTGGTGACATCATCCGCAGACATGGGGTCAACTTCCATATGTATGCGGATGACACCCAATTCTATCTTTCTGCCTCCACCCTCAACTCCAGGACCACTGCTGTCCTGACAGACCTCCTGTCGAACATCAAGTCCTGGATGAGGGCAAATTTCCTACAGCTGAATGTGAACAAAATGAGCCTCAGGCTCTGGCAGCATCAACCTCCGCGGTTGCACACTTCAACTCACCAGCCAGTCAGGAACCTCGGTGTCTTGTTCAACCCTCAACTGTCTTTTCTCCCCCACATTCAAGCCATGACCTGCTCTGCCTTCCCTCACCTCCGTAACATCGCCCGACTCCGCCACTACCTCACCACTCAGGCCACTGAACCTCTTGTTCATGCCTTCATCACCTCCAGGCTTGACTATGCAAATGCCCTGCTTGTCGGCCTTCCCAACTCCTCCCTCCACAGGCTGCAGATAATCCAGAACTCTGCAGCCCGTGTCCTTTCCCGCACCAAACTCCATGACCCCATCTCCCCCACTCTCGCCCGACTCCACTTGTTCCCTATCCTTCAGAGGATCCAGTTCAAGATCTGATCCTCACCTACAAAGCCCTCCATGGCTCGCCCCACCCTACCTCTGCGACCTCGTAACCCCTTACCAACCCGCCCGTTCCCTCTGCTCAGCCGGCTCTGGCCTGCTCCACGTCCCCTGACCCACCTGCCCCATCATTGGCGGGAGAGCCTTCAGCCACTCTGCCCCCAACCTCTGGAAGTCCATCCCCCAGTCACTCTGCCTCACCCCCTCCTTAGCCTCCTTCAAGTCCCGCCTCAAGACCCTCCTCTTCGACTATGCCATCGGCCACCCCCATTTCCCCTCCCCTCCTTTCCCTTCCCGACTCTGTCCAGCGCCTTGGGATGTCCTCCCGATGTGAAAGGCACTATCCAAATGTAATCTTGTTGTTGTTTTTGGATTCTGAGAGCAGGCATTGGAAGCTTGTGGTTTCAAGCCGCAAATTGTGGCTTTGAACTCATTGTCTAGTCTGAAACTCTTGTGCGGTGCTGCAGAGTCAAGACTTGACTAACACTAGGTGTTTGCAACAGATGTAATGTTAGGCAGGCAATAAATCAAACACTTAGTTAATTGCCAATTAGCTGGTTGTTCCTTGAGAAATTAAGAATGTTAAAGTCCTTAAAATGAACTCATGCAATGTCCACAGTCGCTTTGCGCGTATCTTTACTCTTCATATTAGACCCCAAAGATTCATAGCTGTTAACAAGTAAAATAACACCTCAACAGATCTTGATGTAACTTCACAGCAACATCAGTTGTGTGTTAAAAGTTTCGCCCACAAATATACAGTCAATTCACTTTACAGTGTGTTCTGTGAAGCGCTTTGGGACATCCTCCCAACGTGAAGAGCGCTATATCAAATGCAAGGATTATTATTATTATTATATCAAATGCAAGGATTATTATTATTAAGACCGTTCATTGGATGATATACCAAATCGCATATCTATGTGCTTAATGTATATAAACTTAATTTAAAAAAAAACTTTTTATTTTCACCCACCTAAAAGTTTCTTATAATTATCTAGGAGAAGCGGTATTCTTTTTGCCTTTTTAAAATATAGAATTGAAGTACATTGCAAACAAAGAAAATCAGCTCGCTGAATAATTCTATTTCATACATTGACAAAGCTGTGTCCACTCCATTGCTTTTAAATATGTTGTTTTTCTTCTCTCCCACGTACGTGCGTTTGCAAACAGTATATAAAACCAAGGCAATAGAACTTACCTGGTGTGTTTCTCTCTTTCTCTCTCTCTCTTACTTTTCTCAAGTGTTGAATTTGAGCTTAAAAGTACGTCTAATAAACCTCAAGCAGTCGTGGTAAAGCAGTTGTGATCATTCTGGTGGGTGTGTCATTCTGCAGTTCAACCTCTTTTTTTAATACGGAATCCAAAGGGATGTGTTGCTGGGTGGGAAAGCTCCGAACACAAAACGCCCACTGCTGTTTGCTTTAGCAAACGATGATGTAATTTTCACATGCTATCTCAGGAGCATGTTCTGCAGGTGTGTCTTACCTCTTTCTCCCTTCGTTCTTTACCTTGATGATAATTCTTCCCACATCCCTTGCTGCAATTGAACATGCTGATCAAAAAAGGGGCATTTTCTTTCTTTTTTTCCCCACAGCGTTTTATCCGTAATTATGCTGTTTGTTCCGTGACTGCAGAATCCAATTTCAAACCTTCGGCGTCTTGAACTTTCCAGGCAGTTCCGCAGTAGGCTAAGCGAAATCTGTTTTATTCCTACCTTCTGACTGGCAAAATCACTCCAATGGAGGGAGCCAGCATTTTTAAGGTTGAAAATAATGAAAGGAATTACACCAGTTCTGTTTGTGAATTTCCAACGTGGGACCTGAACTTACAATTTCTGATTTGGAGGTGAGAGTGCAACCAACTGAGCCGGAGAGACACACAACAGTCTCCCTGCACGGAATCACATGGAATTCTGCATCACCTCCCTTTAAGGTTAGGTACTCAGAGGAGTGGGGGGAGACGTTAAATCTGTGCCCCATTAGTGCAGAACTCTGATATAGCAACACCCAAAAAGGATTTTTCAGCTGCTAGTCATCTTGCTCTTGCAGGAATTCTGTTTTGAATTTACGATTTCCTAAACCTTGACCTCATTCTGCAAATGTCCAAATGACTGGAATTCTTCCGCTGCCAGCAAAGGCAAGTCACCAAATTTACAGCGAGTGACAGACACGGAAAGAAGGAAATGATAAGACTGAGCCTTGACTTGAACCTTTGTTGTGATTTCACAGGATGGAAAAAAAACTCTTGACGAGCAGATATAGGGTCATGATGCGGTTAAAAAAGCACTCAGCAGCAAAACAGTAGCATGAGTGGTAAGAGGCAATACAAACCTTGAGACATAAAAGCATCTTACGCATAAGCAAAGGTTTCGCACACTGGTATAATGTATGAGGGAATTTCCTGTACATCACATCAACTTACAAGAACTTTGCTCCAATACAAGATGGTTTGTTTGACTTTAACTTCAATAAAATCTTCCTCATCTTGTAGGATTTTCTAAGAATTATGTACTATTGAATGAACAACAATAACAAATTACATTTATATAGTGGCCTTCAAACAGGGTAGCATCTCGGAGCGCTTAACAGTAGTGGAGCTTGACAGTGAATCGGTGAGAGAGGGACGGTAACCACAGTCAAAGAGGAAGGTCTTCAGATGCGATGCAAATCTGAAGACGGGCAAGGAGGGGGCAAGGCAGAGGGATTGAGACAGAGAGTTCCAGAGTTTTGGGGTTTAGTGGTTGAAAGCCGATGGTGGGAGTGGAGAAGGTGAGGGACATGTAGACGGCCTGAGCCAGCTGAGTGAAGTGGGTGGGTAGTGGAGTGAAGTGGAGTGTAAGCAGATCGGAGAGGTGCCAGGGTGTGAATTGATTTGTAAGTATGAGGAAGTGTTTTGAAGTCGATCCACTCTGCAATAGGGAACCGGGAGCCAGTAAAGAGTGGCAAGGACTGGGGTGATGGGGGGGGGGGGGTCAGGGAAGTGGGGGTGGAGTCTGGTTTCGGGGAGAATGCATGCAGTAGAGGTTTGAATCAGTTGAATTTTGTGGGTGGTGGAGCTGGGGAGAATATCGAGAAGGGCATTGAAAAAATTGAGGAAGGAGGTAATAAAGGCGTGAATGAGCTGTTTTAGTATGAGGTAATGTTAGAGCAACGTGGCGGAGGTGGAAGAATGTGATCTTAGTTAGCAACTGGATGTGGAGTTGGAAGGACAGCTGGGGGTGAACCTAATGCCTAATTTGCGCACAGGTTCAGTGAATCTCAGGGATAGGCCGGGAGGTTCAGGAGGTCCGAGCAGCCGATGAGAAGATGTTGACGGGAGCCAAGGAGGATGACTTCTGTCTTATCAACATTCAGCTACAGAAAGTTGGCGCTCATCCAGGTCTTGATGTCTGGCAAGCAAGAAGATAGAACATTGGTGGACCTGGGGTAACGGCTAGAGGAAGAGCTTCGAACTGCAGACAACAAGTAAAGGTTAATCCAGTTTCCAGCAGTTTGGGAAGGGATTTTGGCAGAAGTGATCTGGATAAGGACAGAGGAAGTCACAGGTTCAGGGCGAAGGTGAATTTTTGGACAGACACCATAAAGTATTTATTTATACAAGAGTGATCAACAGCCAGTTACCAGGAAGGACGGTTGAGGACAAGATTCTAGATTAATTTAACAAACAGCTTGAGATTGTATTAAGAATTGGCAGGGTGGGTATTCTGCAAGGATAGGATTAAATGGGCCAAAGAGCCACTGCTTCATCTGAACTTCTCTTGTGATCTCATCACTACTATTCCCCCCATCACTCCATCAAGTTGTTTTTTTAAATGAGTCCAGTGTTCTGGCCTGCACCACCTTTCCTGGCAACCTGTTCCAGTCACTGATTACCTTCTGCTTAAAGAAAAACTTACAGGTCTACACATCTATCCTGAAATTGCCCTTTACAACTTTAAACCTATGTCCTCTTGTTCAACTAGCTTGATGTATCCTAAAGTATTATTCTGGGTTTACTTTTTCAATCCCATTTAAAATTTTAAAGCCCTCTTTGGGTTTCCAAAGAGTCGTTTTCTCTCAAGACTGAAGAGCCCTAGCTTGTCTAATCGTTGCCTCTTCAATCCTCATTCCTCTAACACCGGGGATCATCCTCATTGCTCTGCTCTGCAATGCCTGTAAGGCCTGTGTAGCCTCCTTATGCCACGCTGACCAGACCTGTAGCAGTAATCGAGGTGAAGTTTGATCAAAACACTGTACAGCCTGAGTATGACATCTGGGGATCACAACTGATTTTTCAATATAACCCAGCATCCTGTTTGTCCTGTTTATTGCTGCCTCACACATCCTGTGAAGCGCTTTGAGACCTCTTGCCAATGTTATTTATAACACAATCCTATTCTGCAAAGTCAGGATTCATGTGGTCAACAGAGAGTGAAGAGAGTACTCTGGCATTTCAATGAGGCATCATTGGTTTACTGTTTAGTAGACACGAGCAGTTAGAAGCTATATTTAAATAACCGGTTTATGACCTTTGATTGAAGCTGATGATAAAGTAGATTTCCAGAAAAAAATAGTTGTAATGACTGTTCAATCTCCTGCTGGGAAGAGAAGGATGCTTATTACACAAAGAAGACTGTGCTGTAACCGGAGGCAGGTTGTGGCAGCCATTTGATGTCGAACATCACCACATCTGGCATTCCACACTTCACAGGAAATATCTTCTTTCTCTGCTCTGGCAAAAGAAACCTAAATCTAACTCATATTGTTTTTAACAAAAATTGCAGTCTGTCACACAGATATCATGCTCACCTTAGGATCTACCTTTTAATCATACTTTCATTCACCCCCCACCTACCCCCACCCCATCACTATCGTCCTCAGCTCGAGCTCCCAATCAGTTGGGTGAAGAAGTTGCAACATCCCCCCAATATAAAAAGTGCTATTGTTGCTGTTGAAACAGTCCTGTTTCTTTTGCCATTTGAAAGCTAGTGGAGAAGAGGATAAATCACCTCCACAATATGTGTTTTTCCACTTCAGCCCCAACAACCATAACATTAAATAGCGTACTTCATTCAGGGTAGCATCTTAAACAGCATCTTGAAATTCAGTCATAGTTCGAAAATCTGGTTTGGTTCATTTAAACCTCGATGAGAACATTGAAGTGACAACAAATAACCAAACCTGTATAAAACTGGGGCCAGATGTTTATATTTCCCCTGTCAGGAAAGATGGAACTCCACACATATTCTATTTTTCGCCACATAAACATCAGCTGAGTGACATTGTTCAACATCCTGTCAAATCATAAAGTTGTTTTATATAGAGTTCTTCAAACATTTTTTGGCAGGCAGCAAACTATCTTATGGATTCCTGTGATACACTATGTAAGGCTGGAAGGCTATGAGACATGGTTTTATAATAATAATAATAATCCATGCATCTGATATAGTGCCTTATCATGTCTTCTAGACATTTCAAAGCGCTTTACAGAATATATTGTAAAGTAAATTGACTATGTTTTGTGGGCGAAACAGTGTCTATTGGTGCTGGTGTTGCACGATGCAAACTAATGTGATTCACTATGTAAGGCTAAAAGTCGGTCAGCCTGGTGTAGTGGTAGCATTCTAGCCTCTGAGTCAGAAGATTGAGTTTTCAAGCCCCACATCGGGACTTGGAATTACATTACTCCATCCCGAAGTCCCTTTAACTCACCCTTTCCCTCGCCTCCTTCAAAGTCCACCTCAACTCCATCCTTTTTGTGCAACAAGATTACTGGTGAATGTTGGTCATAATTCGACACACATACTGTTAGCAGGACATGTAAGGCGATGGCTGACAGCAAGCCACCGGGTTTTAATTGAAACAAGGATCATAGAATAACAGAACGTTACAGCATAGAAACTGACCATTTGTTCTGTCAAATCTGTGCTGGTGTTTTCCTACACCTGAGCCACCTGATCAAACCCCAATCTGATGAAGAGGTTCCAACAAGGTCTTCAATCTGATAGTGGGACTTAAGGATTTCAGGAAGAACAAAATCACAATAATTACATTGCAGGCCGACACTCTGTCAGCCTTGTGGCGTACTGCAGGTTATAGATTGAATTATTTTTGTAACATTTCTGTTTTTACCTGATTATTGTGGAGAAACATTACTGACTGTGGCAGGGTAGACTTGATGATGTAGGCAACAGGCTAGGTCAGGTGATGGAGAAGCTGAAGATACATGGCAGAATGGGCATCAAAAGGCAGGTAGATGGCATCATTGCTCTGTGATACTACAAGCGGTATTTCCCCACTGTGGAATGCAGGGTTCCATAAACTGTTCAGTCAACACAGCAAAATCAGTAACCAGAGTTATTTAAAAGAATACGAAAAATAATATTTGTACCGTTTGAGAACATATAAGGGATTTCCTTGTTGCTGCCAGCACCGTAAATAATCACTCTATGCATCACAATCACATGCCGTTTGTTGTTTCTCGCAATTACTTTTGTTCCCTGTTCTGGCACCTGTCAGTGTGACCACATGTAGTACCAAACAAGAAAGATCTCTTAGTGATTCTTTCAATACTAATTTTATCCCCCAGTGCCTTCGCCTTGCTTCCTCCCTTTCCTCCTTCAAGGCCGGTCTCAAAACCTTTCTCTTTGACCGTGCCTTCAGCTCCCCTCTCGACTCTCTTCCTCCTCCTCGCTCCCTCCCTCCCCTCACCCTGACCATTTCCCCCTCCTCTCTCCCTCCCCCCCCCTCACCCTGACCATTTCCCCCTGCTCGGGTCATGACCCAACTGTGCAGCGCCTTGGGACGTCCTCCTGACGTGAAAGGCGCTCTATAAATGGAATCTTGTTGTTGTTGTTGTTGTATACAATACAAAATTACATTTGTAAAGCACCTTTCACGTTGGGAGGACGTCCCAAGACACTGGACAGTCAGAGATTAGGACCCGAGCTGGGGGTCGGGATCGGGGAGGGTGGAGGACAGGCAGGGTAGGAAGGTGGTCAAAAGCTCGGTTGAAGAGGAAAGTTTTGAGACATGCCTTGATGGAGACAAGGGAGGGAGCGAGACGAAGGGAATGTGGGATGGAGTACCATAGGTTGGAAACAAAAGCTGAAGGCCCAACCACTGATGATGGGACGGGCCGGGCCGGGCTTGTGGAACAGGCCACAACCTGCTGAGTGGAGGAAGCGGACAGGTTGATATGGTGTCAGTAGGTCGCAGAGGTAGGGAGGAGCAAGGCTGTGGGGGGGCCTTGAAGGCGAGGGCGAGGATTTTGAACTCTGTTCAAATGAATGAACAACCATGGTTAAAATGACACAATCACTATCATTGAGTTAATGGCTACATATCTCTGCTGATTATTTCATTTACCTGACGATTTTAAAATTTCAATTAATTTAGAATATGCAGCGGCAATAAACATAGTTCTAAAAACGTAAAATAAAGCATATTACGCCCACAAAATATACAAATATACAAATAATGTAAAACATTACAAATAATCGATCACTACAGTCAACACTTTTGAAATGATTCAATGTTAAAGAGGTTACAAGGATTATTATTATTATTATGATTAAGATCTTGTTTTAAAACCACTACCAAGTTACCCAGTGACTCTACTCTGAAATTGGTTGTTCCCTGTGGAAGTGGAAAGGGGGGAGTTTTGGAAGAGGATGGAATAATGTCCAGGAGAATATTCCGTGTACTTCTTAGAAATAATGCCTTGAGATCTTTTACCTGTACATCCAGAAGAGCAAGACCTTAATTTAACATCTATTGTGAAGAACCATGAAATTTGATGAATAGTATGAATCAGTGGAACAGAAGTAACATTTAATAACAACAACAACATTACATTTGTATAGCGCCTTTCACGTCGGGAGGACATCCCAAGGCGCTGGACAGACAGAGTTTTGGACCCAAACTGGGGTCCAGATCGGGGAGGGTGGAGGACAGAGGGGGAAGCATGGTCGAAGAGGAGGGTCTTGAGATGGGTCTTGAAGGAAACAAGGGAGGGGGCGAGACGGAGGGACTGTGGGATGGAGTTCTAGAGGGTGGGGGCAGAGTGGTAGAAGGCCCGCCCGCCAATAGTGGGGCGAGCGAGGCGGGGGACGTGAAGCAGGCCGGAGGGAGCGAGCAGGATGGTAGAGGGTTAGGAAGTCGCAGAGGTAGGTGGGAGCAAGACCGTGGAGGGATTTGAAGGTGAGGACCAGGATCTTGAACTGTATTCTCCGTGTGATGGGAAGCCAGTGGATTCGGGTGAGGATGGGGTGATACGGTCACGGCGCCTGGTGCAGGAGACGACACGGACTGCAGAGCTATGGATGATCTGCAGCCTGTGGAGGGAGGAGTTGGGAAGGCCGACAAGCAGTGAGTTTGTGTAGTCGAGCCTCAATGTAATGAAAGCATGTACGAGAGTTTCGGCGGCCTGCGGTGTGAGGCAGTGACAGAGCCGGGCGATGTTGCGGAGGTGGTGGAAGGCAGAGCGGGTGATGGTGCAGATGTGGGATAGAAAGGATAGTTGAGAGTCAAACAAGACCCCAAGGTTCCGGACTGGCTTAGTAAGGTGGAGTGTGCAACCATGGATGGTGATGCTGTCAGCGCCTGAGGTAAGGAGGCGCTGACGGGAGCAACTCAGGAGAGCCTCTAAAACTTCTATTAATAGAGAAAAGATCAATCAATCTTTTTCAACAGTGGCATACGGTTGTGTAAAAAAATGGACTGAGTCTATCACTGGATAAAAGTCTGCTTTAGCAGTTAATGCAGATAGATATGATATCTGAGGTCTTCTGGAAGCGAAGGATGGCTGACTGTTTTAAATGGTGGTTTCATTTATAACTACAGTACTTAAAAGACATATTTGTCCTTCCAAAGTTAGCTCTCCCCAAGCTAACCTCCTTGAAACATTTATGAGACTTTCAAATTGTTTCATGTCTGCAAGCCTTCCTAGGATCAAGATAAGCAGAATAACTTCCAGCTCAAGTCTCCGGTTTATTGCAGTGAGGAGTCACTATCAGAGTCCAATCATTTGACCACTTTCATTCAGATTCCACAGTGCTTGTTCTTACCAATCAAGACTATGTACTGCGGAGACACAACATCATGTAAACTGCTGACACTGAATCTTTCCAGGCTCACAGAGGAAAATAAAACTCTCCCTGCCCTGAATTACATTGGGAGAACCACGCTCTTGCCATGACCCTCACCTTCCCTCTTCTCGGAACATAGGAATAGGAGTAGGCCATTCATCTCCTCAAGCCTGTTTCGCCATTCTATCAGAGCATGTCCATCTGTACCTCAACTCCAAATTCCCCCTTTGCCCCGTATTCGTTGATACCCTTACCTAACAAAAATCTATCCACCTCAGTCTTAAAATGTGAATGGATCTAGCATCTACAGCCTTTTGGGGAGAGAGTTCCAGATTTCCACTATCCTTTGGGTGAAAAACTGCCTCCTGATTTCACTCCTAAATGGCCCAGCTCTAATTTTAGGACAATGCCCCTTTGTTCTGGATTTCCTTACCAGAGAAAATAGTTTCTCTGTATCTACCCTATTGAATCTCTTTATCATTTTAAACAGCTCGATCAGATTACCTCATAACTTTCTAAATTCAAAGGAATACAGACTAAGTTTTTGTGCAACCTGTCCTCATAATTTAACCCATTAAGCCCTGGTATCATTTTGGTGAATCTGCACTGCATCCTCTCCAGGGCCAATATACCCATCCTGAGGTGTGTTAGATGACGAAAATATATAGAAATTATAATACCTTATAACAATTATAAAACATTAGTTTAAAAACGTTAGAAGAACATTGAGCCTGTCAGTGCCAGGTGCTGGGAGAAGCAGGAACGACCTCCAGTCCTGGAGTATGAGGTAAGGGCCACCTGGAGATAGAGGGAGACCCTGAGCCTGGCACCAGGACGATGGAATGTGTGCTCCCAATGTCATTATACCTTTATTAAAGAATGTTGAGTCCCTTCGTGATTGCAAATTTTTTGGGATATACCGATCCCGAGGATTCGAAATAATGACTCAACAATCCTTAATAAAAATGTTTTATAATTGCTATAAGGTGTTATAATTTCTATATATTTTCGTCACTCTAAAGGTGCGGTGCCCAAAGCTAAACTCAGTACTCTCCTGAACAACTGGTTCTTGCTAGAGTCCTATGGGAATACGATGGAGGCTGACATCTTATCCAAGTAGAAAATAGAAATGTACAGCGTAGAAGGAGGCCATCCGGCCCATCAAGCCTGCTCACAGAACAAGGAAATCAATTCAATCCCACCCCCCTGCCTTATCGTCAGACCCTTTCAAGCCCCTTTTTTGTATTTGTCCCTCCCCAAAACTTTAAGGATCTTCAAAGCATTTATCTGAACAACATTTTTTAATTCTTGCTCATTGATTTATTTTATAGGGGCAGGGAACACAAACTGCAAATTAGCTATTGTTATGGGCAGGACTGAAAATAAAAACATTTCAAGGTAAGAGAACAAACAGCCTTTCACTTGGGAATAGTTACATTTAGCTCAAATAAAAGAGTTCTGAGGCTTATTCCAAAACATGTTTTGATGGATAAAATCTAACAGTTAAAGGCATTTATTGTGTTCTTCACTTGTTTTCATAATAATAGGCACAAACAACACAGCATGATTCTTGTTCCCATGGATACATCAGGGCTGAAGGTCATCAGACCTCTGCAAGTGTTTGGGTATGAAGGTAAGGTTATAAAATCAAGAGATGACTTTCTGTGTCATGGTGGGAATGGACTTCCCTCAAGTTATTGACTTCCTGAGGGCTGCTATAAGGAAGAGAATGGCATGGGCTTCATCAGATAGGAGGTAACTGAAAATTGATGAGACCAATTAAGGGGAGACAGTTGCGTGTTTTTGTTAGATAAATGCAAGTTGTTGTTGTTTTCAAATAGCTGTCAGCAGCCTTGGAGCAGGCAGGACCGTATGAGGAGGTAGAAAGGAAAAAGCAATTGCAGAAGGAAAAGGAACTTGCGGGAAAGCGTCTCAGACTATAAGAAAATTTCTCCTCCAAATTTATTGGGAAGATTTTTATGGCTAGGTGTCCTGGCCAATAATATCCCGGATATAAATTGGTCATTTTCTTAATGGCTTTTTGCAGGACATTGTTGTGCACAAATTGGCTGCAACTTTACAAAGAAAGTTGGGTTACTCACCAATGTAACAAATGCTCTTCTCTCTTTGGATGAAGGGTCATTGACTTCATGTACTGTTGGGGAAAGAAAATACTGTCCTAGTGAGTTTAGTAACCAGACTCAGATATTGGGATTCGGGGGGGGGGGGGGGGGGGTCTAGCTATGTAATGTAAATCTCAACCTTTGCATTTACTTCATAAGAGTGCATTGGGGTTGATATAAACTTTCTTGATCTACCAACAGACTGTTTTCATGGTGGACACTTTGAGATACATTTCAACAATGTTCAAGTACCAGTTTCCAACATGCTGTTAGGTGAGTACACAGATGTTTAATGCAATGTTTTCCCGGTTGCAGATGCGATCGTAGAAATGGAAGCCTGTTCAGGCCTATCTCAGCTGTAGCCATCCATCCTATTGGGGTAAAAATGTTTGATCTATCAAGTGTTAATTAACACAGAATAATTATCGCAGTGTTGAAAAATATGGTCAGTGCAGGCAGTCTATAACCAAAAGACATCAGTTAGTTTGTGGGCATAACAGTACTCCACTCCCCAACACCATGGCAATGGTTGAGTCTAAGGCCAGCTATGTTACTAGTTGTTGGCACATGGATGGAGTCCAATTTTCAGGAGATTGCATTCTTTCTGATCTATATGATCGATTCCAATGTTATTAAGTCTGCGCTGCTCATGCCAGAGCTGTGGCACTGGTGTGAAGCTGCTACTTGAGTATGATCATGTGCTTTGTTCAATTTAGTTTCACTCCGTTGCAAGTTGTGTTAAGAAGCTGTAGTTGATTCGCGGACCTTCTTTCACACGTGTTGATTTAAGTGTTAGTGACACAAAAGTACAACGTCATTGATACAAACCAAAATTAAGGATTAAGCTTGGTTTATGTGTGTGTATTATAGAGTTAATATTGAATCATAGGAATTACATGATAGAAGGATGCTATTTATCTTATTCTGGCGCTGTCCCAATTTCATTCTCTTTCCCCATATTCTTTTCTATTGTTTCTCTTATTATTTGTAATAAAAAAAATCATTTAAATTTTATTATGGTTTGAGTTTCAAAAGCCACTTGTGGCAAAGCAATACTGGCCCCTCCATCGATTGGAGCTAATGTTGAATACGATGATGGGCTGATGAGTGGTTGCTGAAGGTGATCCAAGTCACTCACTGTCTTGTGCAGGCGAAGGCAGAGGATTTGAAATCGCACAAGGCCGCCTCGGACCAGGCCGTATCCACCATTGTATGAGGACCATAGGAATAGCAGAACGTGCCTTGGAGCTGTTGTGCCAGAGGGTTGTCCAGAGGAAGGCTTTTGGGAAGAAACTATATGAAAATGTAAGTAGGGAAGAATATGTTGATCATCTCTGATGTGGAAAATAACCAGCGACATGTTAATGCTACGTGACCTTAACAATGAACGGGGATAGTTCAAAACCCACTTCAGGGCTAATTCCTGCCATTAAATGATAATTTAGTTGACAAGTGTCTAGATAAGCATTAGCCTGCAAAATATAGTCACTCCATTTTACAGTAAATCCTGTGAAGCTCTTTGAGACATCCTCCTGACATGAAAGGCGCTCTATCAGATACAAAGATGATAATGATTATTATTATTAATAAGCTCTTTTCCTGGAGAGGCATTTGGTCATGGCTGGCTCACTTGACTTTACAGTATATCCTGTGAAGCGCTTTGGGACAGCCCCCTGACATGAAAGGAGTTATACCAAAATAAGGATTATTATTATTCTTAATAATAATAAACAAGTCTTCTCTGTGCTAAATTGTAAAAAGATTTATCAAGCTTATTTTCTTATTTTTAGCTGCTTTCAGTTGTACAGCTTTTGCAAGAGACAGACATTGATGCTATTTCAATAGCTGCAATGAATGTTTGACTTAATAGTAACAGGTTTCCAACCCAATCAGTCGTGATGGTTCCTTGAAGAGTAGCCTGCAGTTTGCTAACCTCAATAATAACCAGTCTTATATCAGCACTGGTGTTCAAAGCCTCAGAAAAGACAGAATTAAAATAGGGAAATAATACTGCTCAAAATCTCAACCATTGTTGAGGACCAATTAAGTACCTTAGTCCAATAACATAACAGTGTTTGCTACACACAAAAGGCCTCAGAATTTATGCAACATTCAAAATACATTTACATAGCATCTCTCATGTCAGTTGGCCATATCAAAAAGTGCTTGAAAATGTTGGATAGACACTTGAGCTGGAGGTGGGAGCCAAGGGGGCTAACATTTGGTATGTATTTCAACAAATTGTATTTTTCCCCATATTCCCTTACTTTGGAATTATTTCATTGACAGAGAATTGCCCAGAATTTCTAAGCTCTGGTGCTTACAGAAATGTATGCAACATGCATAGTGAGTTGAGAAGTGAAGGCTGATATTTCTGCACTTGAATTCACCTGGTACAATAAATAATGCCTTGCTTCAAATGCTTTGATTCAATTACAGGCACCTGTCATCCATCAGGCAAAAAAAATATATGAGCTTCACATGTTGTAAAGGATAATATGGGCAAGGGTGCATTTCAAGGACAAAACACAGATGAACCAATTGAAGTTCATGCTTATAATTTACAACCTTGTTTGAACCTCTTGATGTATTATTGCTGCCTAATACACTCCAACCTTTGTGCCATTACATATAATTATTCTGACCCATTGGATTCCTGCTCTGTGTAGCTCAACAGTGGCCCATGGACTACCTGCAGCCAGGAGTGACAAGCTACTTGGCCTTCACTATTACCAGACCCATCCAGCGTGAGGAAGTGTTGGAGACTGTTTGGCCAGGAACAGCTCTCCCTTTGTATTACTCTGTCCCCTCCCATCCTTGTTTTCAATGATCATGAGGGAAGCGAGTCCTGTGGAGTCCTGTAGCTCAGTGGTGAGAGCACTCGCTTTGCAAGTGAGAGGGCGAAACCTTGGGCAAGTTTCCTTACTCCACACGCCTAATAATAATCCCTCCAAAACAAAAAACAATAATAAATTGGTCATTTTCAATCCATGACTGTTTGTGAGACATTGCTGTGTGCCGCGTTCGCCCACAAATATACAGTCAATTCACTTTACAGTGTGTTCTGTGAAGCGCTTTGGGACGTCCTCCCGACGTGAAAAGCGCTATATCAAAAATGCAAGGATTATTATTATTATTATTGTCAATCACAGAGTGAAGCATTTCGATGCCACTTTGTGAGACACCGGCTCAATTCTGACCTGCAATCCTGTCGTGTCCCCGTGTCTGCACAATCCAACTAAAGTTTTCCAAAGTAAATGAAGACAATAGCTGTTAGTGCCTTGGGCTTGTCCTCCTGACGTGAAAAGCGCTGTACACGTGTAATTTGTTGTTGTTGTACAGCTTCACATACTCCATGCACATTGCATTAGCACGTTGGCTAAGTGCTGTTCAGGTCTGTTGGGTTACTTTCCCTGTGTACTTATAAATAGCTCTAATTCAATTTTAAAAGTATAATTTAATTTAATGTTTTCAGGGAGTGTTATGGTTTTAAATTCAATCAAGAGTTAATTATTAGTGCGTAGGGATGAATAAGTGTTCATCCCCCAATATTGAATGCGCTACATGGAGCAGATTAACTCTCAGGTCTTGGCCAACAGTGATGTCTGATAAATAGGTCCACAGTCAGGGTCTGGTGTTGACTTACCTTTACTCAATGAAGTGTAGTCAGCCTTGAACATACAGATGTTTAGTACTCAGATACACTGTGCACAAAATCTAACTATCAAAAATTGCAATAAATAAAGCCTCTTTGCAGCTCTTAGACCCGTCATGTCAATGTGCATGTTTTAGAATTAATTACGGCTTTTTTATTCAGATAATTATAATCCTTACACCATTTACTTTGGGAGGATATCCCAAAGCACTTCACAATATTTACTGTAAAATGCAATGGCTGTGTATATGTTTTGTAAGTGAACATTGCAGCCAATTTCCGCACAGGAATGTCCCATAAACAACAATGAAGTGAATGACTAATTTTATTTCGGAGATTATTGGCCAGGACACCAAGAGAAACTCCTAACCTTTAACGTAGTTAGTTTCCACGGTTTGAAATGTACAGTGAATGGAACCTGACAGCTGTAAGGCCTTTTTAAGCTCTCTATCTCTGCAGGAAGTGGTTGCACATTGGATAGCGGAGGGTCGCATTGCCATTGAACAAGCCCGACTTCTTACGCTTAAAGCTGCCAAAACAATTGACCTTGTGGGCACAGCAAGAGCCAGAAAGGAGGTAAATATATTTGTAAAAAGATAAATTAAAAAAAAGATACTCCTTCAGCTTTATTTCATTTTCAACTTACTTTTAGGTTGCTCCACTGTATCATGCTGTGTCCTGATCCCTGGGTGAGAGTAGTCAGCTGCTAGGATGTACATGCCAGGAGTCCAGGCTAACCCACACCCTTGCTCCCTCCCCCTGAAGCTGCCTGACCTTTCACTGGGCAGCTCCCTATAAGGCAGTGGGATCTTTAATGTCCACCTAAACAGGTAGATGGGATAAGGATTTACCAACTCGTCCGAAGGACAGCACCTCTGAAAATGAAGTGCTTACCCACTGGAGTGTCTGACTAGACCACTGGTGGCCAACCTTTATGATCGGCCAATAAAATAAATGCCATAAATCAAGAAATATTCAATCAAGAAAAACGTGGAAACACACTACTGATCAGACACGGACTTACCTAAACTCGTACGAATGACTGTGGGTGGGAGGGGAGCTTCTTGATGCCACTGTAGACCTTGGGGACACTTCCGGCCCAGGGTCCATGAGTTGACTACCATTGCTGCAATGCTTGGATGAGATTAGGCAGTGATCCTGTAGGGAATCTCGTGTGTAAACCCACAGCCTCCCATTCCATGACATGGACATTACCTCAGAAACAGGCCCTGTTAAATAACATAAAAAGGCGCTTTGTCAATGCAAGGAATGTTTTTATTATTATTATTAGTCCAGATGTGAACTACAGTTAATTAAGTCCTGTTGATCGTGTCGATGATGGCATGTGTGTGTGATCTCACTGCTCTGGTTGCTCAGATTGCTATGATCAAGGTGGTAGCTCCACGAATGGCATGCAAAGTGGTGGACTGTGCCATTCAGGCTTATGGAGGGGGAGGATTCTCGCAGGATTTCCCTCTAGCCCACATGTGAGTATTAAACAATATTTACAAATGATCAGTTCAGCTATTCTCATTGCTTAATGGTCCTGTGCAGCCACTGGGAGCTATTCAGACAGATAGGATCCTGATAAGCCCATTTGGAGCTGTTCCGTATTGAGAAGATCACAATGACATTTTTTGTGTCATTATTAAACAGAAAGTCTTCACTTTAATTGTCACAGCAGAATGTCACACTTTCCCTCCCTACTATGAAAGAAAAGATTTAACAACAAGAGTAATTTGCACTTATATATCGCCTTTCACAGAGGATGAAAGCCTCAAAGTGCTTCACAGATTTAATAGGGAGCATCGGGAAAGAAGAATTAATAAAACATGGCCATAGAGATACACATTTAAGAGGCTTGAAGCCTGTTCTGCTATTTTTAGAGGGAACATGATGCATACAATAGGGGAAGGGAAATAGAGGGGTACAGGAGAGGGGATTAGGAGGGGTGGGGTTAGTGTGCAGTGTGAACTGTGGCAAGGATGAGTTGGGTCGAATGGTTTGTTTACACCCTATAATTTATTTTTATTAGACCGTGACAGATCTTTTAATCTCATTTCCCTGCCTTTTCTTCATGTCCTTTAAGAAACCTTACTTCCCAATTCCTATTAGTAATTTCTTTTTTAAGCATCCCAAACCAAGTACTCTTCTCATAAAAAAGGCTGAAAAGTTTTATATTCATCTTAAAAATTAATAGTATCCCAATGATATTGTTAGACACTGCTGTGCACAATTGGCTTCCGTGTTTCGCCCACAAAAGATAGTCAATTCACTTTGCAGTATACTCTGTGAAGTGCTTTGAGATGTCTCGAAGATGTGATAAGGCGCTATATCAAATGTAAGGATTATTATTATTATAAGTGGGCTAAACAAGTGCCATTCTCTTTCAGGTATAGTCTGGTGCGTACTTTACGTATAGCCGACGGTCCAGATGAGGTCCATCTCTCTGCAGTGGCTAAACTGGAGCTGAGAGAGCAGTTGAAAAGCCTGGTAGGAAAGCTGTAAAGGATACCTCTTGATGCAGATCGTGACTGAGGGGCCTTCCTGAAGAGCAGTGGCTGAGTTACCAAGCCCTGCGTTGGTGTTTGCCAGTTCCACTCAGCCTGTGAATAGTTTAAGCACCAATAACTGGGGACATCAGACAACACAGGTTGAGTCACTGCATTGTTAATACTTTGCTATAGGAGCATTGCAGAGGTTGTTGGATTTCATCTCCCCCATAATACTGCAAGTTGGAATAATAAAAATAAATTCAACCACCAATTCACATTTATATAGTACTTTTTACATTGGAAGGACATTACTACAAAAAAGGAAATTAATTTATTGCTTCTTGTTCGGAGTTGATGAGTAAGGGAACAATTGTGCTGGAGTAAACAAACTTCAGGCAAGCTATAACTCAATAATCAACAGATGCACAATGCAATTCAATGTTAATATAAAGAAAACACTGACAATGGAAATTACATACCCTTTCGTATTCACACCTTTTGTTTTTGCTTATCATCAGGTCTTCTGCATATCCCTTGTTCCCTCTGCTCCACAATTGGTGTCTGTGCTTTCAGCCACTATCCCCCAGATATCTGGAACTCCTTGCCTCAATCCCTCTGTCTTGTTCCTCTTTGCCCATTTTCAAATCATGCTTGAAGACTTTTCCTTTTGACCGTGCCTTCGGTCACCTCCTTTCTCTTTCCAGCTTAGTGTCAAACCACACTGCTGTTAAGTGCTCTGAGACGCTATCCATGTGAAGAGTGCTATATAAGTGCAAGTTGTTGTTGTTCAACTCATCAGATTCAGAACTAACTGATGAAGTTCAGACTTGTTTACATGATTTCTTGACTGAATTGCAACTTCTTATGACTCAAGAACCGGACTACCGAGAAGACTTGTTTCTGACATTCTGACATCTATTGTGAACATCACCTTGGAACCAATCCAGCTCCAAGAACATCTAGCCCCCATTCCCTCCTCCTTCTCCACCCCAGGAGAATAGTCACTATCTGCATTCATGAGCACGGTACTGAAATGACTGGATATTGCCAGTGATGCTTTATCAAGCTTTCGGTAATTGCCTTTTAAAATTGAATAGGAATATAGGAATTATTATCTGACGATCAGTAAATTTGCCAACCTTGGCAGTGTAAGCTAGTAATGGTAAAATCTGAACATTTGCTGACCTTCAAAAAAAATCATCTCTGATAAATCACTTTATGATTTGCCTTTCTTTGCAAACTGAAAACCCAGTTTTTTACAGTGATCGTGCATAGACTCAATTTGTTTGCAGATTTGTCAACGGAAATGGGTAAGTCTTATTTACAATTAACAGAGCAAATTGTGGCCTTTTGAAGAATTTAAATGACATTGATAATTTTAAATGACATCAACTGCACGCACATAATGTAAACCAATATCTTATAATGAATTTACTATCTTATAATGAATGTACTATGGGCTGAATGGCTTTCTTCTGTGTTGTAAATTTCTATGATAGTTTAATTCAGCTGTTGTAAAGGTCTTGCAGAATTGAACCTTCTTAGCCTGCATTCGACGGTAACACTTTATTGATTCACTGGATCCAAATAAAATCAATCTCTGCTTCCAAGCTTGTCATTATTTTTTCATATTGCCTAGGATTTTATGACCGATCGACCCCAGCCTGGCACATTGTTCAGCAGGCTTTTATAAAGCAATGTGTTTTTTGGAGAGGCCCCACAGCTACTCCCACGATCTTCAGTTCCAGCTGGATGTGGGAAGGCCAGCATGGAGTCCTACATTACACATCCCAATGTGTAGAAGAGACGAGCATGTTTTCTATAATTGCATTCAGGTGCAAATCTGGTACATTTTGAAGCTTTCAGCATTTGTGCATTCTGCCCACTTATAAGCAACCCACGAGAAAAAGTGGTTCACGTACCAAAGGGAGTCAGCGGGTTTTCTTCTCCTTTATGAGTGAGGCTGGGATTTTGGTCACTATCACATTCAAATGAAAGGAGCACATATTGTACATCATTATTCACAACCTTGTGAAGATGTAATTCCATACAAATACTTATTGAACCAGTTGAACTGTTTATATTTTAAATCCTATGTACACACATGGAAAAAATCCATTACATGAATCACACAGTTTGATGATTCACACCACAGTAAAGTGGAACAGGTCACGTCACTAAGTGGAGATGGAAATAGAGCAGTGCATGGAAATCTCGGATTATGATGAGCTGATTGTTTTAACGAATGACCTGGATTCCCAACAAAGCTGAACACCTGTATCTAACTGTAGGAAGCGTGTGTTTGCTGCTGGTGTTAATGATTGCAATTGGAATAATTGTTAATCTTTCTCAGCTTTGAATTGGTTTCTTGATCAATTGTGGCACTGTCCATATCTACAATGGTTACATTGTTTAAATGGTCAGACACTTTGCTGGATCGGTGGACTTTACCTGCTGATGAACAGCTGCTGTGGTTAGTGAGTTATGGACAGATGTTTTGTCTCAGAGTTTGGTGCCTATTGGCAATGAGATGCCGGCAGTGGTGAGTCATGATATAGAGAAGATATACGAGAAAACAACACAGAAAGTGCCCTGAATGATGGGATTGATTACTATGGCAAGTTGCCTACAAGGCAGGTTACTGTAATTTTCACTTTGATTCTCTCCATCCCCCTCCCTTCCTCGCTCCCTCCCTCTCATTTCCTGGGAGGAGGGAAAGAGGGAGTGGAGCATATTGGTTAGAACACTCACCACGCAAGTTCGATTCCCGGGAAGGGCGAAATGTTGTGCAAGGTTCCTTACTCCACACCCCTCTGTTTACCTAACAAAAAGTAGGAACCTGGTTGTCAGTCGATTGCCAGATCGCTTTCTGCGGGGGTGATAATCCTTTTTAAAAAAATAGTAATAATTTGCTCACTTAATCCATGACTGTTTGTGGGACACTGGTGCACAACTGGTTTCCATGTTTCACCCACAAATACACAGTCAGTTAACTTTACTGTATATTCTGTGAAGCACTTTGAGACGTCTCAACGACGTGATAAGTCACTATATCAAATTGCAAGGATTATTATTATTAATTGACTATCCATCTCACTTGCAGGGCATTCCTGGTGAACTGCTGTGCTGGCCCACATAAGAAACCGTTAAACTACAAAATTAACTTAAGTGTGTGAAATACATCAAGATGTGATGAGACACTTTATCTAATGCAAGTATTTTGAGCATTATTTGTATTTCACAGATCCTTTCCATGGACCCGAAATGTGCTAGATAAGCTGCAGTTTGCTGGAATGTTTTAAAATCAATGATTTTGGATTGCAAACTATTCTCAAAAGAAACTGCTGCACAGTGATTTATTCTGTTAGATGCTCTACTTTAGAAACCTGCCATTGCCATGAGATACCACAGAAACATCTGAAAGGACAGGCTGTGCAATCAAACTCATACATATATACATATTAGGGCCATTGGATCAAAGCAAAAGAACATTTAGTTTTTGGTTTCTAAGGTTCTGAAAAATCCGCTCAGCAGAGCACCAGAGGGAGGCTGGCCTGCTTGAATAGATACAGTTTTAAAAAGTTATTGAGAAAAGGTCTAAGGTTGTGCAGAAGTTTTGTAAACTACTGGATTTCAAAAGATATCATCCTAGGAAATTAAAAAGAAATCTCTGCCTGTATACTTCTCACCACAGGACCGCTACGATGAATAATGATCCTTACAATTATTATATCACTTGCAACATCAAAACCTTTCAAAATGCTTCACAGGTTAATTGCTGTCAAGCATAGCACTGTGTAAGCAAACACAGCAGCCAATTTACACACAGAAATGTCCCCAAAACAGCCATGAATTGAATGACCGATTAATCTGAAAGATTAGCGGCCAGGACACGGGGAGAAAATTTCCATCTCTTTGAATATTGCCATGGAATTTTTAAAGTCTATCTGGACAATGAGGACCAGGACCTCAGTTTAACTTCTCACCTGAAGACAGCACCTCTGACAATGCAGCTCATCCCGGTATGGCTTTGTTAGCCTAGAGTATGAACTCACTGGGCTTGAACCCACACCTTCCAGAGGTGACAGTGCCACCAACTGAACCAGACAGACATACATTACCTACACGTTTTAACAACAAAATAATTTTAGCATGTGATGCAGAGTCTTTCACTTCGGAAGGATATCTCAAAGCCTTCACAGAATGTATTGTAAAAGTGTAGTGACTGTGTATTTTGCAGGGAAACTCAGCAACCAAATTGTGCACAACAATGTCCCATAAACAGCCATGAAGTGAGTGACCAATTTTAATGGGGGAATTGTTGGTCAGAACACCCGGACTGGGATTTCGCTTTTCGAACAGTGTCATGGGATGTTTTAACACCAGTATGAAATCTGCAGAATCCTCCTTATTGTTCAAACAGTGTCAGACTCTTATATCATGTTGACAAATCTCTGAATAAGATTCTGGGTTTCAGTATATATTCAGATAGCTGCCACATCCAAAGACAGGTTTCGGTTTATAGTATGTAGCTAGTTTCTATATCATTAATCTCCCCTTGTTCACTGGCACTAATCCCACCCCCTCCACACCTCAGGCACTGACAGCATCACCATCCATGGATGCACACTCCACGTTACTAAGCCAGTACGGAACCTTGGAGTCTTGTTTGATCTTTGACTTTCCTTTCTCCCCCACATCTGTGCCATGACCCGCTCTGCCTTCCCCCACCTCCGCAACATCGCCTGACTCCCCGCCACTGCCTCACCCTGCCCTCCACTCCTCCTGATCCCAACCCCCTGCTTGGGTCCAAATCCCTGATTGCCCAGTACCTTGGGATGTCCTCTCGACGTGAAATACGCTATACAAATATAATTGTTTGTTGTTGTTCTAAGAATGTCTAATTCTTTATTTTCATATTGTACTTTTTGGTTTTTCCTTTATTTTTTAAATATATTTTTGAATTTTCTGAGCCTGGTCAGTTTTCCTTTTTGAATTCATGATGAATTTTGTGGTGTTTGTAATTATTATTATTACAGCTGTTACATTAAAACATTTGTGCAGGTTTATGACGTGAATTCCCATCCTCCCGAATGTGTTTGGCTGCCTTTAACTAATTTTTTGGAAGGCCTGTAACCTTGAAGTTCAAACAGAAGACATTGGCAGGAATGATGCACCGATGGAGAAAGTGGATAGAATGCTAAGCTAATAATAATAATAATCCTTGCTTTTAAACAGCGCCTTATTATGTCGCCGAGACGTCTCAAAGCA